ATGGACCTTGTTTTCTCATAAAATGCTCTACTTGACCAGGGTTTTTATAAAACAAACAAACAAACAAACAAAAAAAAACAAAAAAAAAACTAGAGGCTGGTGCATGAAAATTCATGCACTGGAGGGGAGAGGGTCCCTCAGCCCAGCCTGCCCACTCTCACAGTCTGGGAACCCTCAGGGGTGGGAGGCAACCTGGCAATCAGGGGAAGGGGATACCCCATCACCCCTCTGCTGCTGCTACTGCTGGCAGTGCAAGCCTCCACCGGCCTTGGTTACCTGAGTGTTGGGTGGCCCTGGGTGGCTGTGGGGCTGAGGGGACTGAGGGATTCTGGGGGTAGGTGCGTGGAGCGACCGAGCCCACCTGGGGGTAAGCTGGGCCTTGCTGCAGGCCTGCTGCCCCAGTGGGGCTGAGAGGATTAGGTGCCACCATCTTGTGGCTATGGGTGTCGCCATCTTTGAGAGTGTGGCAGGCAATTAGCATATTCCCTCCTTATTGGCTGTGGGTGCCACCATCTTTGAGGGAGGAGCAATCTATTAGCATATTCCCTCCATATTGACTGTGGGCTCCACCATCTTTGAGGGCAGGGCAGTCAATTAGCATAGTCCCTCCTTATTGGCTGTGGGCACCACCACCTTGGTGATGGCGTAAGGATCAATTAGCATATTCCCTCTATTAGATAGGCTATTTGGCTGCTTTCTATTTGTTATTATATTGAGGATTTTGGTTTCTTCACGAGGGAGGACAGTGACTCTCTTTTGTTAGCTTTGTTGGGGTTCCCTTTCCCAGCTTTGAAGAAAGAATCAAGAGATCTTCATCTTGTCCCCATCTTTGCTCCAGAATCCTTACCCCCACCTGGGTGCCCCATTCCATCAAAGGGTCAAAGCTTCGGGACTCTGGTCAGGTAGCAGGCAGGTGGCCCCATGGAGGCTCCTCCCAGGCAAAGCTCTAATCCTATTGGCCCTGGGGAGGATTCTGGGTAACTAACATTTGCCTGAAAAGCCCATTCCTTTCATAGAGGTTTCTACGTTTATCTCAACATTGTCATCTTATTTTCTTATGATTTTTGACATAGCACCCATCTGCTTGTCCCTGTGTGCCCGTGGCATTGAAGAGACCCCCGCCTCAAGGGGCCGAGGGGGTGGTTCCGGCAGGATGTGGGGGCCCAGGAGGGAAGAGTATCAGGGACATGGCTGAGCATCTGGATGGGGGTGGCAGTGACCTGGCAGGGAAGGAACAGGTATGGCAGGAAGTGGAGAGAAGACCCCCCCACAGACACACACTGGGAGTCGCTCTCTGGGCCAGCAGAGCGAGGGCCTGCACAGAGGTTCCTGCACCCTGGGGCAAGAGGTGGGGACTCCTGCTAAACCCCGGGGTGGGCACAGGCAATGTCATCCCCTCCCTGGGACCTAAAAAGGACGTCTCCAGTGAGCTGACCCAGCTAGCCTGGGACCGGGCCTGGGGCTGGAAGAGAGGTGGGTGTCCCCCCCCCCAACATGTAGGGCCCGAGTCAGGGGAACAATTGGGACCCATACACTGGCTGTGCCCCCATTTAAAGGCAGCAAGTCCCTCAACGGAGTACCAGACACAATTCCACCTCTAAGTCCTGGAGGGCGGGGCCAGCGTGGACTCTCAGACCCCACCGCCCACCCCAGTGTTCTGGACAGAACATGGGCCGGAGCGAGCTGGTCCCCTGCTCTGTGGAGGGTTCTGGGCTTCCCTGAAGCCCCCTTCATCCTCAAGTCTCCACTCCACCCACACCACCCACCCACACCACCCACACATGGCCAAGACGCAGGGAAGAGGCCTGGGAGGGCCCTGGAGGGGGCAGGAAATTCCCGTCTGCACACACAAGGAGTGTGGTCCGGAAGGGGGGGTGGGCTCGCCCTTAGCCTTGGCCTCCTCCCCACATGTGAAGGGCTGGGTGGGGCCAGAGCAGGGCCCCCTGGGCCTGGGGAAGGGAGAGAGGGAGCCGGCGTACAAAACACACACACACCATAGATGCAGGAGAAGCCCTTGGGTGTTGTTTATTTTTTAATAAGCAACTTTTTTGCACGTCTGGGCGAGTAGATGGGAAAGCCAGAAAGAGTGCCATTGACATTTTTCCATGTTTTTTTGGGTTACAAGATCATCACTCCTCCTCCTCCTCCTCCTCCTCCTCCTCCTCCTCCTCCTATTCCTCCTCCTCTCTCGATTTTGGGGCCAAACTGGTGATCATGTCGCTGACAGCATCTTAACAGCTTCCCCTTTAGTTTACCTAAACTACACACGACCCCACACGCACACCGAGGTGCGGTGGGCAGCCAAGGTCCCGACGCTCTCAGCAGAACGGCGGCCCCACCCAGGAGGGAGGGCGCGGTGTCTGCGGGGCGTGAAGACCGAGGCGAGCCACTAACCCTGTTCTGATCTTGTGGGATGGGACGTGTGAGCTGGGCGCACTGGAATTTGGGCGGGGTGGCCGCATCAGGTGCTGGTTAAGAGACCAAGCGGTCACGGGGGAGGTGAGATGGCCTGTCTCTCGGGGGGGCGTCTGCTGAGCACTCCAATGCTCCCACCGCATGTGACCTGCACTGCGCTTGGCTCCCTGGGGACACGTGCCTGTCCCCTTCCCTCCCAGACTGCCCCTCGTCCTGGGGACATGCAGTTGCCTTGCACTCGGCAGGTGCTCCAAAAGGCTTCCTGATTGGATGGATGGTGGATGGATGGGAGGGCCGATGAGGAGGTGGTCAAGGGTCAATGGTGGGATGTCTTTTCCTTGTCACCAGGGAAACTCCCAAAAAGGTGGAGCAGAGAAATTTGATGTCATCCAATCTCAGAATGTCAAGTTTGGGGAATCTGAGGATCAGAACTGGTAGTTGACTCGGTCAAGGTCTCACGTGAGAGAGGCCAGGTGGGTGCCAGACCCACCTGGCACATGCCAACCATTCTGGGGTGTTTTTTTTTTTGTCTTTTTTTAAAGATTTTATAGACACACTCAAATGAGATGTTGACTCAAATGACTTGTGGGGAGAAGGACGGACTGGTGGGGAGAAGGAATCGGGGAGCGGGGTCATCAGAGAAGGGAGGTGGGGGAGTCAGGGGATGAGGGTGAGGGAGGGGAGGACCCACAGAGCCTGGGGTGGGAGGGGCTTGGCAGTGGTGATGGGGTGGGGTTTGGGATGTTGGGAGAACTCTGGGGAGGCAGGAAGGGAAGGGCAGGTTTAAGATGGGGAGGAGTTTGGTGGGGACGGTGATGGGAGTTTGGGATTGCATCGCCTGTCTGGGACTAGGTGACCAGGATGGCGTCTTGGGGCTGGGAAGAGGAGGACCTGGAGCGGGACAGCAGGGTTGAGGGAAGTGGCAGTCAGGCTTGGGGTCGGAATGACAAGGGACTCGGCAGTGGTTTCGTGGATGGGGGTGACGACGTTGATGACTGAGTGATGACGGTGACGCATGGGGTGATCGGAATGACCATGTGGTATTGGAATGACCGTGCGGTGATCTGAAGCAATGACCATGTGGTGATCGGAATGACCGTGATGAAGGTGTGGTGATGATGACTTGGGGCAAGGTAAACACGTCAGTTAATACTCAACCAAGCTCCGAGTATTGATTCCTGCCCAAATAACCTAAGCAAAATAGACCTATCTGGTACCCAAGGGCTGTGAAGCTAACAGAACTCTGTCCCATTTCCTTCTGGTTCCCCCCCTCCCCGCCCCCATCAAAAATAGATGCTCTTCTTAAAAAAGTCAAGTTCATGATTCAGAAACTGGCTAGGTCTTTCGGGATCTGAGCGTTACTAGTCGGCAACACAAATGAGCTTCGTGGCCATGTAGGCCAGGTCTGGCACCCCTTGGGCCACACAATTGGAAAACACCCCACAAGGGCCGTGTTGCTTACTCAGATTTCGCCAGGGGCACTTGCGGTTCACCTGCAGTTACATTTTCAGAAATATGGCTGATCTACCAGGGGACGGGAGGGGAAGGGAGGTGTGGGGGGGGGAGAGGGGGGTTTCCCGAGGGGCAACCCCAAGGCTATGGTATTGGGACTCGAAAGCGGCTAATAATCGTTCCCAAGCGGAAAGTGGAGCCAGGAGGCTCCCCACTTTGAAAAACTGCACTTAGGGGTGATTCTGAGATGCCACGTGGGCATCGGAGCAGACCAAAACATGCGGACCCAGGGAGGAGACCGAGTCTCCATCCGATCCCCGACGGGAAGGGTCGGGAGCTGTTTTGGTTCATCCCTCATCGTTCCTAATTCCGAGTTTTAGACAAGAGAGGACCTTGGTGGTCACGGTGGTTGGTCAAGCCCCTCCCTAAAGAGGGGTGGAATGGTGGGCTCGCTAAGGGGTGTGGCAGGGCTGGGACGAGGTCCCGGCCCCGCCAAGCAGCCAACCGGGGTCTTTCTCTCTGCCTGACACACGGCCGCTGCACTCCGCACGGAAAAAAAACCTCGACTCCATCACAAAGATCTAAGGACTGCGATGTTGACGTGAGTGCGAGTCGGATGTGACGTGTGAGAATTAACGAACGAAAGGGGCCTGAGAGCCCCGCTCACAGTGGCGGGTCGTCAAGAATACGTTTGCAAGGACCCTGCGGCCGAGGCCCCTCGGGGGAGGGACGTCGACACACGGAGCCCCGGTTCCAGTTGCCTTGTTTTTTTTTTGTCTTTTTTTTTATTTTATGCCAAAAAAAGTCTAAAGTTTAGAACGACATGCTACGTTATCTTAACTTGTCTTAAAGGTGATTAAATTCTTATTCTTATTAATCATGCATTGGGAGGGAGGGGGGAGGGTACCTTCTTCGTTGCATTGAGCGCATTGCATTGGTCACACAGTAGTAAGCACACAAGGTAACAACAACACAGCGAAGCGTAGCGCGTTCCCCAGGCCTAGCGAGAATCTGCCACCCAGGTTAGAAACCCGACCGCATCTAGAGAGATCTGCGGGGCGGGGGTGGGGGCACCCCGAGGATGGAAGGGGGGGCGGGGCCAGTGGGGGACTCTGGGGAGATCTAGCTCTGCTCTAGATCTCCTCGTCGCTAGCCTCCTTGAAGGTGGTCATGTCGATCTTGTCGGGGAAGATGATGTTGACCGCCATGTCCTCCCCGCTGCTGTAGCGAAGCAGCAGTTTCTTCTTCTTGTTCAGCATGCGGTTGTAGCGCAGGTTGGCGATCCAGGCCTCGCACTTGTTGAGAAACACGACGCACACGGTGCCCAGCACCACCAGGCCGGTCAGCACGCCCAGGATGGTGAAGCAGATGGCCTGGCCCTCGGAGAGGAGCGGGGTGTCCTTTTTGACCTCGCGCATGGCCACCTTGAGGATGTGGTGCTCGGGCTGCCCCACCGGCAGCTCGTGCACCCCGGGGGTCACGCGGTAGGCCAGCCCGGGCCCTTGCTGGGTGCTGGCCGCGCGCTTCTTGCCGCAGAGGGGGCCTGTGAACTGGGGCTTGCACCGACACTCGAACCTCACCTGAGAGTGCTGCAGGCAGGTGCCCCCGTTCAGGCAGGGCTCGGAGGCGCAGGTGGTTACCGCGCGGCTGCAGGTCTTGTCCACGAAGCCGGGGGGGCAGCGGCACCGGAAGTCGCCCCCAATGTCGGTGCAGGTGCCTTGGTTCTCGCACGGGTTGGAGGTACAGCCGCTGACCACGATCTCGCAGAAGTTGCCCGAGAAGCCCGGCGGGCACACGCAGGAGGCATACGAGGCCTGGCCGTCGTCGTCCACGCAGGAGCCGCCATGCTGGCAGGGGGATCTGCAAGACAGAAGGGGACAAGGCGACGGTCCCTTGTGGGGGGAGGTGGGCTATGACCGAGGCTTAGCACACATGATGGGAGTGTGGGTGATGCCAGCCAGGAGAGCTGAGGGGGGAGGCGGGCACTGGGACCCCCGCCTATGAGAACCTCTATTGTCTGAGGCAGCTGTGCCCCTCACCCCAACCCGGAGCACGCCCGACCTCCCACCCCTACGCCCATCTCTCCTCCCAGAGGCCTGCCGGGTAGTCCCTGGGCTGGTGGGGGAAACTGAGGCTGAGAGAAGCAAAGCTACTGATAATGCAGGGCTGGAGGGAGCCCCCTCCTTTATCTAGCTCTGTCCCTGGGCCCCCCCCCCCCGAGGCCGAGCCACACAGGGCGTCCCTGACCGTCTCCCCCGCCCCTACCGCCCACCACCCCATTATTATTTTTGCTTTTATTCTCAGTGGAGCGAGCCCGCAGCTCATTGTGCAGAAGCCCTCGGGGACTCTGCGAGTGAAAGAAATACGCGGGCTGTCTGCGGTCCCTGCGCCGGTTAATAGTGGCTCATTCACCCAAGTGCAGCCCGCAGACCGAGGCTGTTTGCTCCGAGCGCAGCGCGCGGAGCATTTAGCGTAAGTGCTTCTAAACGAGCAGGCCCTTTGTCAGCTGATAAATGCCCAAACTCCGGGGAAGAAGGGGCGGTGGGCGCGGAGAGTGAGGAGGGCTGCAGAGGAGCAGGGCTCTGAAGGAATGTCAAGGGCCCCGGGCTGGGTTTTGTGAGGGAGAAGAGCAAAGTATTTTAGAGGGCTTGCTGGAACGTTCCCTTCTCGCTGGTAAGCAGGCACAGTGTGCGATGCCGCCCCTGCCCTGGGAGTGCAGAGCTTTCCACACCTCCCCTATGCCTGTGTGTGGCACCAGCCAGCCCCGCGGCCTCCACGCCACCCTGCAATGCCAGGGCGGGGGCTAGGGGTCCCAGGTGGGATTCTTGCTTCGGTGGAGAGCTCTCCTGGCCTCCCTCTGAGCCCCATCCCTGCAGCTGTGCCCCTGAGGGCCAGAGGGGGCGCTGTGGGGAACCCTGCGCAGGGTGGGATAGGGGAGGCCAGTGGCCTCCTCCTGAGACACCCAGCAAACCCCATCCTCTGCTCAGCTGCCCAGCCCCCTAAGCCACCCCCTGAAGTGGGTGTGTGGGTCTCACAAAAAGCAGCCTGGGCCCTGGGAGACTCTGATCTCCCTCTCCCCTCGCCCCTCACCCCAATCGCCTTTAGAAAATTATGCAGCTCTGAGCTCCGTCCCAATCTACTGTCATTCACACGCGGGGACTCAGGGACTCGGGGAAGGCAGGGGAGTGGGAAATAATCGCCTTCGGGATCATTTGAAGAAATTATGGAAATGACACTTCTCTGATGGAGGGCGGCCCCCCCGGGGCAGCAGCCCGGCTGGTCCTTTGTCACTGGCACAGGCTGACAGGGGCTTTAGGGGGGAGGGGGGAGGGACTCAGGACCCAGGTAGCGGGAGGGACATTTACCCGTTGACCTCGCAGGGCCCGTCCTTCTTCTGGCAGTTCTCGCCCGAGAAGCCAGGGGCACAGGTGCACTGGTAGTGGCCCTTCTGCATGGTGGTGCAGGTGCCGTTGTTGGCGCAGGGGTTCGAGGTGCAAGCACGCATGTCTGGGGGAGGGGAGAGAATGTCAGGCCCCGTCCCCCTCTCTGCCAGGGGGAGGGGGACAGAGGCAGGAAGACCGCCGATTGGTCAAGAGAGGGACCCCCAACTAGGCTATCTCCATGTCTCTGCCCATGGCCACTGCCTATGGTCCCTAAGGGGGGTCCTGAGTTAAGAGGTGCAGGGACCCCACCAAAAAATTCCTGAAAAGCTTAGGGAGCTGAAGGAGAGTCCTTGTGTTAGGTTACGGGACGGAGAGTCACAGCTGCTCTCTGCCACTCCGCCCAGATCACCTCTCCCCTTTTCTGGGGAACCAAGTCACCCCGAAGTCCGGCCTCACAACCTTCCTGACAGATACCTCCCCTCTTCCCCAAAAGCAGGCCGAGCTCCCCGTGCCTGCCTCCTCCGGGCAGCTCTGCACACCCAGCTCTTCATGGGCTTTTTTTTTTCGGGGGCTGCTCCTTGGGGGACTGGTACAGCCCAGCCGTTAGGAACGCCAGCGGCCCTCTGAGCCGGCCCACCCCCAGGGGCAGGGGGCATGGAGATACGATTGAGCCGGGCCCTGCCTCCTCCTCCAGGTGGTCTCTGGTCCCAGATGAAAAGGCCTCTCCGAAGGCCGTGAGATGAGAACCATGGAGCCCTCTCCCGCCGGCGTGCGTTTCCATGCACACGGGCGCCTCCCCACCGCCTCTGGACACCGCCCGTCACGCACACTTCATTATCCCGGCTCAGCGAGCCCCGGACGCCGAACAAAGGGGCCCGGGTCAGGGGCTCTCCGACGGGGCAGCCCCCCGGCCCCCCGCCTCCCGCCTGCCAGGGAGGGGGCCGGCCTGGGCCCACCCCCCGCCAGCTGCGGAGGCCCACCCCCCTCCCCACTCTGTGCCTCACTTTCTCCACTTATTAAAGGAGGGGGCTCTCCCAGGGACCTTTTTCTTTTTTTTTTTTTTCCCCCCTTCTCGTTAGCTTTGATTTCTAACCCAGCAGAGAGCCGGGACCCAGCAGACACACCGTGAGGCGGTTCAGGCAGATGGTGGGGAGGGGTGCACACATGGACAGATCCCCCCTCGGTGACAAAGGCCGCTCCCTGCCTGGCGGAGGGGAGATGGCAAGCCATCAATAGAGAAAGGCCTGGCCGCCGTGCGGATGGCCGTCCCGAGCCCACCAGGCAGCCCTGGGAGCCCAGCTGGGAGCGAGGGAACATAAAGAGATTTATCATGGGGGGGGCGAGGGGGGCGCCGGCCAGGCCTGAGCTTCTCGGCGGGCTCCCTCCCCATCCTCTGCTCAGGGCTCAGTCACCTGAGAGCTGACATGGAGGCTGGAGGGCAGTGACGACCCTCCCGCTCCTGTCCCCTCCGTGGCCAGCCTCCCGAGCAGAGGCCAAGCCGGCCTCTGCCCCGGGAGCAGGCTGCCCGGGGGGAGGGCAGCCATCCTACGCAGGGGCAGGGGCAGGGGCAGGGGCAGGGGCAGGGGCAGGGGCAGAAGCAGGGGCGGCAGCTGCACTGCCTGCGACTGACTGACTGTGACAGTGACAGCCTGAAAGACGGGGGAAAGGGGGAAAGGGGAAGGGGGGGAAGGGAGAGGGCCCTCCGTTACCCAGGGGCCGCTTCCCCCGGACCCAGCATCCTAAGCCGAGAGCCTTTGTCAACCAGTGAGGAGGGGGCCGAGGTCTGGAAACCCCGTGGGGGGTCCCGGGCTAAGATACCCCACTGGGTGGGCTGCAGGCTGAATGCCTGATCCCAGATGGTGACGTCTCTGGGATGCTCTGGTCCTGCAAGGGCCCGGGGGGGGGGGGGGGGGGGCAGCAGAGCCTCGGGCCTGCGCATGAGTCAGCGGCTGATAAAACTGCGCCATAGCAGGGGGGGGGGGCGGGAGGGGGAGAGCTTCAAGGACCCAAGACATGGCGGGGGGAGATGCTGGATTTTGAAAACGAGCTGCTCTTTCATGCCCCTTAAGGGAGGGCACTGGAGAAAGCCCAGGTGAGAGCGAATTCTGAGCAAACCCTTCGGCTTCTCTGAGCCTCAGTTTCCCCTTATTCTCTGCCAACGCTTGGGCCCCGGGGGGACAGAAAACCCCAGGCTGCGGGCGTTTTCTCAAGGACCTCCGCCCACCCAGGTTCCCAGGCGGGTTTTGCCGAAGGAGAAGGGGCTCCGAGGAGCATGTGCAGCCCGAGAACGCCGCCAGCTCTCCATCGCGCGGGGTAATGGAGGCCGGAGATCGCGTAAATTAATGCAATCGACAGACCACGCCAATCCATCCCTTAACCTCTTCTCCGCCCTCCCCAGGACCCCCTCCACCTTCGTTCCTCTGTCACAGCCCCCAGCCCCGACCCGGGCCGGGCCGGGCCGGGCGGGCCTGGGCCCCTGCAGCCCACCCCTCAGCGCTGGTCCCCTCCCTCCCCTTCCCTCCCCTCCCCTCCCTCCCCTGTTGTTTGTTTGCTTCCAGCTCCTCATGCCTGTCTCCCGCGCGGACCTGTTGGAGTTTTTCTTGCTGCGTCACAGACACCCCGGTCTTTCTACTCCCTACGCCTCAGCCACCGAGCAGGCCCGTGGTGCCCACCCACGCAGCTCCATGGGCTGTGTGTTTGCCCTGTGATGGTTTATCCCCCCGGCAGCCCCCCCGACACCCCACCCCAGGGCATCCTCTGGGTGCAGGGTGCAGAGGGGAGCAAAATCACGGCCCCTGCCCGTGAGGAAGCTCCCGCCACCATCATGGGGAAGTGTGCAAACAGGCCATCGCCATACAGAGCACCAGGGACATTAGGACGAGGCGGGAGGTGGAGGGCGGGCGGGGTGGGGGGACAGGGGGATGTGCCCACCTATGTCGCAGTAGTGCCCGTCCCAGCCCTCGTTGCAAGTGCACTGCCAGGGCTCGTTGCAGAATCCGTGGACACAGCCGGGAAAGGGCATGCACTCATTGCACTGGGGTCCCTGCCAGCCGGGGTGGCACCTGCAGGGGCAGGGAGAGTCCGTGTGAGGGTGGGCAGGGGGTGATAGGGGAGCGGGGCTGCTTTCTGCGTACCAGGGCCTGAGGGGGGTCTTTGCACAGTTCCAGGCCTGGGGTCCCTGAAAGCAAATGCCATTCACCTGGATGGAAACGCTCACACAGAGGGGGGCCGTCTGAGGAGCAGACAGGGGGGGCCTGGGAGGCCGGGACTGGGCCTCGTGATGCGTTCTGCTGCAGTGGCCCGCAGAGGCGTGTCATCATGGGGAGCTGTAGCTGGGCCCCACCTCCTGCTGCCCCCCCTCCGCCCCCCCAGTTCCTGCGTCATCCCTCACCAGCCTCCTGCGGGGGTGATGGTGACCAAGCTGGTTTTTGTTTTGCAGCCCAGTGTCCAAGCCCCCTAGCCCCCTTTTTTTTCTGCCTGACACTGTGGCTCCCCAGGATTCTGCCCTAGCCCCCCACAAGGTGCTTTGGGGGGCCTCCTTTACCTGCAGACATTGTCCTCGGTGCACACTCCATAGTGGCGGTTGCAGGGCGGGAAGCATTCAGCTCCTGGGGCATAAGAGAGGTTACACCGTTCATCTCACCAGGCCCCTGAGGCCCAAGCCAGGGAGCACGCCCCCCCTGAGGCCCTACTGGCCTGGCACACAGTAGGCACTCATGTCAACCCACTCAGGAAAGGCTCTCTGCCATGTCCCTGCGTATGGAGTGACCACAGCACGTTTGCTTTATTCTCACCAGCAGGTCAGACATCTCCTTTCCCTCCAAACAGAGTGTGAGACCTCAGGCTGCAAAACTGGGGGTGGGGGCGGTGGGTGGGCAGGTTTGGACCCCTGGGCACTCAGGCTGGCTACGGGGGCTCAATGGGGGGGGCAGGTGTTGAGGTCTTCGTCTCTGGGGAAAGCCAGGCGGGTTCACCTGGCAGCTCACAGGTAAGGCATCTGGATTATGTTTTGAAGGTTCATCCCAGTGAAGCCAGGCCCCCAAGTCGGGGTGCCCCCCCCATTCCCCCTGCATCGAAAAAACAACTGCGCCACAGCTTTGCAGAGGGAGCTGCCTGCAATCCTGACCCTATTTAAAGAGGCTGACGTCTCCCTGGGCGCCTACTGTGTGCATGTCCGTCAGCCTGCACCCCGGCTCTGCAGACAGCCCCCTCGGCCACAGCCCCTGGTGCAATGGGGCGGGGGCCCCGCGGGGGGGCCCCCCCGGGGCTGGCAGAAAGGGATGGCGGCTGCAGCCCCTCACCTAGAGAAAGCACGCAGCAGGCCCAGGCTGGGCTCCTGGTCGGGAATTGGGGGACTAGGGTGGCAGAGTCGCCCCCCGTTGCACCCGAGAGACCTGTACCCCGATGAGCACACAAAGACCCCCACCCCAAAGTTGCCTTTTCACGGGGGTCTCCAGCATCCCCTCGTTCCTCCTCCCCCTTGTCTCTGCGCCCTGACACCCCTCCGGGCACCACTTTTGCGAGGTTGGCAGGGGCCGGGGTTCCGCACCTCCCCTGTGTCCGCCCCCCGGGACCCCCAGGGCCGGGTTCGGCATGCAGGGGCGCGGAGAGGGCGCGGCGGGGACCGCGCGGGGGCTTAGGGTTAGGCGAGGCGGGACGGGCGGGAATCGGGGCGCATGGGACGGGGCGCGCGGGGGGCCGGGCGGCCGGGGGGCGTCGCAGGCTCCCCAGAGGGGGCGCGAGCCGGGCCGCCGGGGCACTCACCATGGGCATGGTGGCCGAAGGCCAGCAGGAGCAGCAGGACGCGCAGGAGGGCTCGGGTCGCGGTCATGGTCATCGTCGCGGGGCAGCCGGGGTCGCGGTCCCGGGATCGGCGCGGGCGCGGGTCCGGGCGCGGGGGCCGCGCTGGGCTTCTGGTTGCGGATGCGAAAGGGGGCGCGGGAGCGCTGGGAGGGGAAAGCCAGGGCTGCGCCCGGCTCCGCGCTGCGCTCGCCAATGCCGCCGCCGCCGCCGAGCTGCCGCCGCCGCCGCGCGCGCCGCCCTTTTCGTACCGTCGCCCCCCTCCCCCCCCCGCGGCCCCCGCCCCCCGCCCCCGCCCCCCTCCGCGCGCACGGGGCCGGCGCCGGCCAGTCCCGGTGACCCCCCGCCCCGCCCGGGCCCCCCACCTCCGCGGCGTCCCGGAAACCGGCTCGCGCACGAGGCGCACTCGTGGCTAGACGGGCACAGGTACCCCGCGCGCGTGGAGCACGCGTTCCCCGCGCGGGACGGCACAGGGGCGCGCCCCGCCGGGCCGCTCGGCCCAAGTCCCGGGAGCCGGGGGGCCGGGGTCGGCCCGCAGCCCCCAGGACAGCGCGAGGGCGCGCTCGGCACACGGACACCCGCCCCCGATCCCCCAAATCCTGCCCTCGCCAAGGTCCCGGGCACGCAGGCCGGGGCTCGCCCGCCCAGAAAAACACACGCACCCTCCAAAGGAGGGACTGCGCACCCAGAAAAGCCCCCGAGACCCCCGGCCACGGAGACGCGGGGGGAAAGGCAGACACACTCCCGGCCACCCGGACACAGCCTACCTCCCGCACACGCTGCTGCCCGCTATGGGGAGGGCTGGCGATGCCACAGGCCCCGTCCTGGGCACGCAGCGAGGCCTGCGCGCTCACACGGTTATGAAACCCTGGGCCCAGCCATCCCTCCGCACGGAGGGAGGCACGTTCAGAGCCACGTGCTGCCCCTGAACATGCGAGCCCCCTCGTCCACAGGCTGACGCCAGCACATGTCCATCCAGCCCGTTACCTGATGGCCTCCGGCCCCACACACACCTGCACGCACACACGCAGCCAGGGCCTCGGCCTGGGCCTGGGTGGTGACCAAGCAGATTTCACCCAGGGGCGCAGCCACACAGCGGGTGTCCACACACACACACCCACACCGCCCGGTCCCCAGGACTTACCATCCACTGACTCTTGGTTGCACAATCACCTCCACTCACACAGCCACCCAACACACACCACTCACACCCGTCTCTGCTCCCCGACCGGGACGTGTGTGGGCAAGAAGCTCACACGTATGCGCTTCTCCCACACGCAGAGACACACCAAGGCATCAAGCACATGCTCCAGGCCCCCGGAAGCAGGGCGGGGGAGCTCCAGAGAAGGCTTTTTGGGGGCACGGGCTTGGGGGTTTGGGGGACTGGGACCCTACCACAGACCTTCCTTCTCCGAAGACAGCTCCTGGGGAAAGCAGGGCCTGGGCCTTGCAGCCTGACCCTCTGCCTGGGCCTCCCTCTCCTTGAAGGGATGTGGGAGGTGCAGGGCTGCTTGGGAGAGGCGGTGGGGGAGGGAGGGAGGGGATGGAAGGTGTGTAGGAGGTGGGACTTTCAGGGGGTCCTTTGTGTCCCCTGCATTTGCATAGGCTCATTTGCATACAGACCCAGGTGCGGGGCTCCCTCAGGTCATACCCCTCCCCTCCCTGTCTTGCTCCCCCCCCCCACTTCCCCACATTGCTGATGGGAACGAGGGGCGGGGGTAGGGAAGAGTGGGGAGGGGAGGAATTTGTGTCACTTTGGACCTTGGGGTGGGGCCTTGTCCCTGCAGCCATCCCCACAGGACCCCAGGCCATGGAAGGTTGGAGGATATGCTTGCTGACCTGGGCACCGTGGGGTGGGAAGTCAGGTCCAGGGGAGCCCCCAGGCCCGTGGGTCCCGAGACCCTCTGTCTGAGCTGGGGGGGAGACTCTGGCCATTTCTCGGCCGGCTTTCCAGAGGCTGGAGGGGAGCTCTCCCCGGCTTGGGAAGGTGCCCCTTCCCCGGTGTTCTCTGCTGAAGACCCAGAAAGAGGGGAGGGCCCTGGGGCACCCACTGCATGCCCCTGCCTCTCCGTTATCCCAGCTCCCATGGCCCCTTCTCCAAGGAAGAAGCTGAGTCCAGAGAGGGAAAGTGTTTTGTCCAAGACCCCCGGCTCCGTGAGCGTGGCCGGAGGCTCAGGCCTCAAGGACGCCTGTCCGGTGCACAGAGATGGCCATAGCTTCCCCAATGACCCCCCCCCCCTCCACCTCTCTCTTCCCTCCAAGAACCCTGACCTCAGCCTCCAAAATTATCCTGCCCCGTTCAGCGGGCAGCTCCAGAAGGCTGGGTTCTCAGCCAGAAGCAAAGGGTGGGGGGTGGTGAGGGACCTGGGGCTCAAGAGTCCCCACCCCCTTTCGGATCTAGTCACGAGGTGTGGCGTGGCCTGCGCAGAGCACCAAGGGGGGCTCTGGGGGCCATCAGTGCACCCCCACCAGGACCCCTTCTTTCTCACCGCCACCCTCCCCAGTTTTGGAAAAGGAAGGAGGCCCGGGCATGGGTGTCCAAATGCCACAGGCTTCACTGGAAAGGGCATTCCCTCTGCTCGCTGGCTGGCACCTGCTTGCTGACCCCAGCTCCTTCCCCTGCCTGCTGAGCGCCCTGGGCCAGTCACTTCCCCTCAGAGCCCAGCGTCCTTGTCTCTAAACAGGGGTGCCGCCGTGGTCCCCAAAGGGAACTGGGGTTTTCGGGAGTAGAAAACCACTGTACTTACAAGGCCTGGCCCCTCCCGGCCCTTCTTCCAGCAGCTGCCACCCGCCGCCTCGGCCCAGGCGGCTGCAGGGAGCGGGAGGAGGGGCGGGGGCTCGCTGGGCCTCTCCCAGAGCCCCTGCAGGGCTGCCGCGGGGAGGGGGCCTCCGCCGGCGGGACCCCGAGCCTGCAGCTCTCTGTGGCTTTGCTCTGGTGTCAATAAGGCGTTTGTAAATGCAGGAGCCCGGAGCTTTCTTTTCAGCGAGCAGACAAGAGAAGGGGTAGCTCGGCAGCGGCGGGAGAGGATCCTGATTGTCACAGGCTTCAAGGCGGCACCGAAAGCATGGAAATGCCAAGGGGGTCCCTTGGGGAGCAGTGGCACCGTCTGCTGTTTGCAAGCAGACCCTGGGGGCTGGGGAGCACAGGGCTGGGGGAGTCAGGACAGACAGATGCTGCTCTATCTGTGCCTTCCCCACTCCCCTCCCCTCCCCACTTTCCTCTTCCCCTCCCCTCCTTTCCTCCCTGCTCCAAAGCACAACCCTCTGGGACCCCAGAAGGAGCAGAGCTGGGCAGGTGGTCTGCACAGGTAGCAGGGACTCACTCTGCCGAGGGCGGGGCTGGATTGGGCTTCGGTGGGGCCCAGCCCCCTCACAGCCGCCAGAGAGTGTCCTCGGCTCCTTCCGCCCAGAGGCCAGAGGCCACCCGGGTGGACCCCAAGGGAGCTGGTGGTGGGTGAGAGTTTTCCGAGGGAACGAGAGGAACGTTATCTACGGCCTGCTATCTGCAGTCCTTCTCCAAACACGAACAGCACCCCAGCCCACGCCAGACCCCCTCGGCCCTGATTACGGACAGGAAGCTGCTCAGGGAAGCCCAGCAGCAGGGCCCAGCTGGAGGGCTCAGGTCAGCCAGTCCTGGGTGTGCACAGGGCAGGCCGCAGGGGCGGGGGGGGGGGGGGCTCACCCCCATCCGTCTCTGCACCCCCACCCAGTTGAGAATCTCCACACCTGAGGCTTGGTTTTAGAGGTCTCCACACCCCATCGGTCCTGTCCTAGCGAGGACCCACCGGAGTGTTTGTTTCCTCTCCCCCCTCCCTCCCACCAAACACCCTGTGATCTCCATCCTCCCTTCCAGGGAGGACTCAGGCCCCCTGGCCCTGCCTGAGGCGTAGCTCTTCCCGCAGGGCCTGCTCATGTGCTGGGGTGGCTTGGTTAGAGGGGGGAACTGAAATAGCCCAGACAGTGAATGGGCAGGGAACGCTACACCCACATCCTGGGTTAGGGGTACACAGATAAGCGGGGGGTCCGGGGGAGGCTCCTATTTTGCTCCCGGCCCCATAGTAGAGGCATCTGTCTGCTCCGGCCTCTCCCGGCAAGACTTGGGGCTGCAGGCCCATTTCAGAGATGGGCACACTGAGGCTTGAAGACCCTGAGACAGCTGAGCAGGTAATGACGACCAGAACTGGGGTTTGAAACCCGGTCCCCTGGCAACTCTGGCACCAAGCTCTTTTCTCAGCCGAACAGAGCTTAAGAGTGGGAGGCAGGGAAGGCAATGGGAGGCCCAAAGGGAGCCCCTGCCCTCCTGGGATTGGGAGGGGGGCCCGTCCAGCCTTCTTAGGAGCCGTGAGGTTCCTGCAAACACCTAAGAGATGCACACACGGTAGCCACGACTCTGATTCTTTTTTTGAGCTGAAGTTTGTCGGAGAGAGAAATTCTCTTTTTTCATTTTTGTTTTCTGCAGAGGGGAGGGGCCCAGAGGGTGAAGGAGGGAGAGGTGTTGGAGGCACACCAGGTACATTTAGGCTCAAGAACATGAAGGTTTGGTTTCAAGTTCAGTCAAAGAGAAGCCTGCCGTGTCCCCCAGGCCTGGTTGCAGGTCTGCACGTGACTCGGGGGAGAAAGAGTGGCTCTCACTCACCTCCCCCGGGCCCAGCCTCAAGTTCCTGGGAAAATACACGAGCGAGTGGGGAGCGGGGAAGCTTGGTGTGGGACCATATTTAGTGTTGATTTCATGGGGTGGCACCTTTCGCCCCAAACAGAACCAATTTCTCCCGTCATCGATGGTAGGGTTTCAGAAATAGATTTTCTCGCTTCCTTCCTGGCCATTGGAATCGATGTGGATGTCAAGTTCACAAGTCTAATTGTCCACGTCATCCGTCAAATTATCTCCGTAAAGGGCGCCACTGAGTCACGCTGTGCGCGCGGGGCTCCGGGGGTCTCTGGGGAGAATTAATGACGCCCCACATCGTGTGGGTACCCCAGCCCCCTACCCAAGCGGGAGGAAACCAGGACCCGGGGGAGGAAAAAAAGGAGTCTTTT